TTTCAAACTGTTTCTTTGTTCTTTCTGGCAAAACAAAGTTGGAAAAAGGCAGCAGCAACATATAAACTTTATTGGAAAATATTAAGTGGTAAACAAGGAAAACTTGAATTTCAAGCTTTTAACATCACTTATAAGCCATGTATAAGCACGATTGCGAATATGAAAATTAAAACGAACATAACAAAAATGAAACTGCTTTACTGTCAAAACTGCGAGTTAGCGAGCAAAATTTAATCGTTAGTTTTGAACTAATTTAAAGAAAATGTCATTTTTCTAATAGTGTTGTTGAAAATACGTTCGAAAGAGCAGAAAAAGAAGGAAAGCACGCGGGTTCGACATATATTCGAGCTGGGGTTCCTCAGGGATGTGCATGGGGCCTTTTCTTTACTTGCGCTATGTCCATGACATCTCCAGATCTAAATTGGCAACGACTGCTATGTTTGCAGATGATCTTGCTATATTTAGTAGAGGCAAAGATGGTCCAATAGCTTTTAAGCAAATACAAAATCAAGTCAACAAAATTATTGACTGGAATGAAAAATGGCGTATGAAAATAAATTCCCAAAGTTCTACTCTAGTTGCATTCTCCTATTTCAGAAGATTTGAAACGTCACCCATAGTCATTCATAGGTATCTGAAGCTGATTCGGAAAATATTTGAGCGTAACTCCGTATAAAAGATTGAACTTCAACCAAGGTATTTCGGTGAATAAGTCTTGGGTAAGATCTGGTCTGAAATCATAATATATCAATTATATCATATATCAATACCACAACTCTACACATTGAGGCTAAGGGCAGAGCACTAAACAGCTGATACAGATTAATTAGCGAAGGCAGCTGGGATTATAAGTGCAATAACATAGGTTACTCGAACATCTTAAACTATTGAGTAAGATTAACAGCCAATTATTAAGCGTTAGTGATAAAAAGATTATAACTCCTTCGGGGAAAAAGTGCTTTCATGTAGTCACCCCTTTTGAATATAATTATAGTGTGGATGATGACCATCGCTACATAGACTGCTATACAGATGCTATACAGATTATCAAAGGTAAAGGGAGCGGTGCAGGAATCTGCATACTAAATTATTAGGAATCAGTATCTCCTCCCCTCTTGGCAATAACACCTCCGTTTTCAGGCGGAAATCTGGGCCATCAATGTATGTTGTAGAACACTTATGGAAAATAAAATTATGGGAAAAGATATTAAAATCTTTTCTGACAGTCAGGCTAGACTTAGGTCATTACAAAAAGATTTGTCAACCTCACGACTGGTGGAGGAAACTGTAGATATTATCAATAGGATCTCTTTCAGGTTTGAGAACAAGGTAACCGTTATTTGGATACCAGCACATAAAGGACACCATGGCACTGAAGAGGCGGATAGCCTGGCCAAAGAAGGCTCTAATACTGCGTTTGTCGGGCCACAACCGGTATTACTTCACTCTATGAGCACAGCGAAAGAGAGTATTAATAACTGAGGTTTGAAACAACTCCTTAAGGAGTGGAATCTATCCCCCGGACACAGGCAATCGAAAGAGTTTGTTAAGGTGATTAAACCGACAGAATCGAAATGGCTATTCTCTAACTCAAGGAAGGGAATTAGGAGGCTGATAGGTATTCTGACGGGCCACTGCCCACTGAGAAGACACCTCTCCGTAATGGGTATTCTACCAGATCCCTTNATATATATAAGATCAGGTATTGGTCGAGGAGAATAAACGATCCAAAGTACAAAATTTATTGGATTTGGCAGGAAATTTAGTAAGCTTTCAGGCTTTTCTCTCTACTTTCGCTGATTTTCAACTCCTCTTCAAAATATTTGCAGAAGAAAGCCAAATAAAGTGGTTTCGACTTAACACACTAGAACAGCATTTCGGCTATTTTCAAAAAATCATATCAACGGTTCTATTGGACCGATTTTAATAACTCAGAGCTCATTTTTCTCGCCAAAAAATCTAGTTTGAAAGAAAAAATGTGAAAAATGGGGGTTCTCATTTAAAATTAAGCATTTTCCTTATGTCGAATCGAGCTAAAAAAAATAAACAGACCTTACATGAACAAACTACATGAAAAATGAAGGGGAGTCTTAATTCATACTTTTTCCTATCTAGAACCACAACGAAAATAATGGGGTGGGCACATTAGCTTGGTTACCTTGTATAAGTAATAAGATTAAACACCAAACTTTAAAACACATATACAATGTTTGGTGGGAATTCTGTGATTGGGTTACATTATTTTTTGGGTTATATTATTTTTTTAATAGTTTTTATTTGTCCAACCTTTACTGTACGGCCAGTCTGCGTAGGTCCATATGATTCTAGAATCCTATGTGCTAATATGATAAGATCCTAGAATTGTAATTAGCCTAATGGACGTGTACGACTACACAACTGGCAAGAGGGGGCTTTGAAACCTTTTAAATAATTCACCTCGTCGGACGGCCTTTTGGCTTCAATTGAATTCTCCTTATAGCATATCCTGTACATCTAGCGTCTTAAAAGTTTCGCAACAATTTTTTATTAAACCAACCTCAAATCTTATAATTTTTGCAAGGCACTTTATGATTAATGTATAAAAATGTCTGAGAAAAAAATGTAAAGGGGAAAAGGCAGATACATCACGCAAATACATTCATTTCAAAGTACGTACATGAGGAAAATGGATAAATATTCTATCTTCAGATCGATCACACCCATCCAGGTTGATAAACGCAGATTGCTTCACCCCCACGCCGATAGCGGGTGAGGGAAGATAAACAACCTTTTATTTTTACTCAGGACGTATAAATTTAAATCAATGTTCGATTCTAAATGTTATTTATCACGTGGGATTCTACCGTGCACATAATAAGACATCGAAACACAGGTTTTACAACCGAAATATAAGAACTGCACTGGAATAATAAAATGCATTAGAGATCAGAGGAGAGTTTTGCCCACTTGTAACTTTTATAGATATATCTGGTAAAATAAATAATCACAATCATTGACGAAGTACGAAAGAAAAAAGTCAATGTATTTTCTTTTACATGAATTACTGTTTAGGCATTGTGACATCGACACACACCAACTGAACTGGGCTAACTGCTGCTTGTCGAATAACTGATCCTTAATGAAAACTTTTGTTTGAGTCGAAAAATATTATCAAATTTATTAAAACTGACACTGTTTTCCCTTCCATCTATCATTTTGCCAATGGGCAGGACACTTTCTGGGAAGTGTCATGTGGGATTATTGAGACCAGTATGTATTTAATACTTTTAAAAAATAGATATTTTTCGCCTATACGATGTCGTCCGGTCCACCGTCTCCCGTGTGGCCGGGGATAATAACGCTGGCCATACGCAAGCTTCACGAAGGTAACAAATAGAAGACAGCCTCTGTCAAAGTTCCCGCCAGGGGCGTCACCACGTGCCACCACGAAACCATTCCCAGTGTAACTAGGGCTGATGTTGGAACTTTTCAGTTACCCCGTGGTACAGATGGCCATACACCCTCCTCCGTCTATGCAGACAGGATCTGGTGCACTGGCCCTCGTGTGTCTATGCTAAGGCACCCGCCGCTCATGCCGACACGAGTACAGCTTGTGCTTTAGAGAGGTTGCCTTTAGATTTTTTCCCAACGACCCGGATTTCGAGCCCTTAGCTCATCATCAGGTTGAAGGATTTCTACAACCACGTCTCTCGACATGAATTTCAAAAGTGAACCCGCCGATTCCCCCGCCAACGCGACGTTCCAATGAGAAGGTTTTTTAATGGCGCTCAATTTGAACGTGCGAAAAGCGGGAATTATAACGCAAGTAAATATTATATTATTAAATACTGTAAGAAATTAATTATAAATTAGTGATTAAAGATAAAAGATAAAACATTAGAATAATACCTTAATATTATTAAATTATTATAAAAATATAACAATTAAAAGAATTAGTTTAATATTATTTATATACATATTTAAAATGGGAGGTAGATCAAAATTTGTTATATTATTAATGCATTTATTACCATGTTCAATTTTAAATTTTTTAATTTCAAATTTCTCAAACAATTTAGTTTTCTTCCCTTTGTTGAAACTATGTAACACTGTTGTATTGTGTGTACTGCGAGTAAGAACTCTCTTTTTTTTAAAAAGGATTGAACACCGCACGCACTTCATCATTCATCATTTCTATCAGTATGTATTTTGTTTAGCTTATATAATAATTCAAAAATATTAATATACACTGAGAGGCTAAAAGTAGTCACCCCAAATTTTTGTATTTTTTGTTGTTTATTGGATATTTTTAAAGAAAAATATATGATATATCTAAAAAAAAAAATATATATATAAAAAATTTAAGTGAGTAAAACAATTTTACTAAAAATATTGCGATGGATACAACGAAAATATTCAATTTTATACGGAGTACTTTCTGCGTTCCACGACCATATTAGCACGTTTTGAACACCAACGCACAACTCAAACAAAAAAAAGCAAGGAGTCTTCTGTTCTGATTTTCCGAAGGGGGGACAGGTCTGTTGTATGTATACAGTAGATATGTATCTCGTTTTGTGTGCATTGAGAGTGAATGTATTTATTAGCGGAATATTCAGTATCCCATCGAACCTCGAATAGGTAAACTAGGTGTAAAGGGTGATGGAGGAAAATCAGGTACTCCACCACTGTAAGGAGGTGGGAGAAAATGGGAGGCTGATTACGTTAGGGCTAAAATGACCTAGCTGTTGATAGTCCCTGGAGCCCAACTTCGGCGGCTGGACGGATACCGAGATCCGATCCCAGACTGCCGACACCCCGGATGTGTGATTCTCGAGGCTTGCCGGTGATTTATTGTAAATTACTAAAGCTAAAATTGCCGGTGGGCTGCGAAAACTGACAGGCTCAAATATCTGTTATTATCAATAAATTATTACTGCTAATTGAACAAAATTACATTCTATTTACGTGGCCATAATTAAGGTAATTAAACTCTTAAACATACACACTATGTGCCTTACCTTTGCGATTTTCCTGCAATCTTGACTCCACGGTAAAGCCTGAAACAATAAATTTATTTATGGAATATAAAAATGTACAAATAAATAACATTTTATATTAACGTTGATGGAAAAGCGAAAGTTGTTTTCTTATGCTTCTTTGGTTATGTACAGGGGGATAAGAACGAACTGAATAAACACGGGAAAATAAGTAATTTTTTTTTAAATTTTGCTTTAATCAGGGATCAGCTTGTGTTTTTTTTCAGCATTAGTAAAAGTTTATTTAAATTTTAAAATTTCCATTTTTCTCTCGTTGCAACAAAAATGTGAGTGCATATGACCAAATAAAGGTTTTGATTGATGAAAACCAAACAATATTCGATTATTATATACCACACTTTGTCAGTACAACAACGGCTATCTTCATGAAAACTTTACGTCATATTAATTGAAGCCTATCTTTATTTTAATTACGAGGAAGACAGAGTGAGATTTAAAAGATTAAATGATAAATTAAAGCGGTGGGAAAGCCCTGGAATTATATCTTGCTGTCCTTTCAAAACATATTTTACCCGGAGCCCAAGCTGATAAGGAAAGAACGTGAACAATTTTAAACCATATCTCACCCGACTTTCTTGATTTATAATTAATTCCATTTCAAAATGTTTTCCCCCTTATTAGTTGATTTTGGATACATCTAGTTTTTCTAATTTAGGAATTTATATATTTATTATATGTACCATGCACATTAGCTAAATTATGAAATGTTGTGATCTGGGCGTGGTGATAGAGTTGCAGTTATTTGCTTTTCGGCATTTCCTAATCCTTACTGACCAATCACTGAAGATTAATTAGAAGAGCTGATCTTATGGTCAAACTTATCAGCTAAAAGTTAATTTTTTATAACTAAAATGTGAATAATGGTATGACGTTAGAGAAAAACGGATACTTCATCTTGTTGTACATCTACGTTTTCTATGATTTTTAGATATGTTTTTAGTCATATTTTATTAGCAGGTTGTAAGGATTTTTTTTATAAAAGTATATTTAGAAAAGAAAACAAAATATTACTCTTTTTTTTACAAAATAACAAAATAATACTTGTAATGGCATGATCGTCGTCTGCCAGTTGACCCTTACATATTTACATTCAAATAAAACTTTAATTAGCATACAAATTGTAAACTTAACATAAAATTATCTCTGCAATTCAGCGCATCTACAATATATCTACACAAACTAAACCAATCTTTCCCATTTAACAGTTCTATATACTCACGGAATTTCAAACGACATCTGTGGAACCAAATTAACCTAACGTTCTCCAAAGTTGGACTGCCAAAAAATGAAAAACAAATCTTCCACCGTTTTTACTTTACATATATAGCATGCTTGGTCTCTTTTCTCCAGCCAAGGCTTAAAATTTAAATATAATTCACTAATTTCGTGGTCCGCTTGACCAATTAATATATTACAATTAATTAAGGTTTTTAGTTGAGATAAAAAAGTCAATGGCACGAGCGGGATTCGAACCCACGATCTTCGGCTAGATACGCCGCTGCTCTACCACTTGAGCTATCGTGACATCGATCCACTCGGACATCAACTCCCCATCTCAACCCCACCATATGAGTTTTCCCTCTTTTTGCCATTTTTCAAATGTCGTGTAATCGGTTTTGATTCTTGACGACAATAGAAATGGCGACGGAGAGCTTTAGTGAAGTGTACTGCATTTTTTAAATCATTAATTCACTACTTTCGTGGTCCGCTTGACCAATTAATACATGACAATTAATTAAGGTTTTAGTTGAGATGAAAAAAATTTAATGGCACGAGCGGGATTCGAACCCGCGATCTTCGGCTAGATACGCCGCTGCTCAAAAGGGAAAATTCAAAAGGTGGGGTTGAGATGGGAAGTAAGTGTCCGAGTGGATCGAGGTCACGATAGCTCAAGTGGTAGAGCAGCGGCGTATCAATCCGAAGATCGTGGGTTCGAATCCCGCTCGTGCCATTGATTTTTATCTCAACTGAAAACCTTAATTAATTGTAATTTTTAAATATAATAATTGACCTCTCGCGCGAAAAACCACCTTGATCAAATTCCAGTTGTATTCTTTATACAAGTAATTGTTGTCCCCAAGATCGAAGTTCAATTTCTTTAAATGTTATGTAGAACATTGCACTTTTCTTAAACATTCTTCTTTATGATGAGTTTCTACTGCCTGCAATAATTGTACTGCCCAAATTTTGAAATCTTTCGCATCTGTAAAATTTATATGAGAACTACAGTTCAGTCCGGAAGACAACACTTCCAATTCTTTAAACCAAAAAATGTTTTTTTTATTATCTCCTGAGCAAGAAGGTAGGGCAACCGATCTTGTTTCAGACCCAAAACCCGTTGAGAATACCATTCCAGGTTATACTCAATCCTTGTTTAGCAACCCTACGTTTATTGGCCAACTGGATATTGAAGGAAAGTAGAGGAGTCAATGTAGGTTGTAAGGATTGTTATAATAATAAAAGGCCAGGAGCCACCTGGTAGGTCTATACATCACACACTAGATGATAGGACATCCTACTCTGGTGCCTTTCCCTGGTTTGGTACTGTTCATCCTCGTTCAACTTAATTGAGTTTTCCTCTGGAACTTTTGGAGGAGGAAAGTTCTCGGACACCCGAGAGAATTATTTTCCCATTTCCAGCAATCGATGCTAAATAGTGATTTGCGTAAGGAATTTTGTGTTTGTCTCTTTTGGGTTTTGAGACCCTAATTAGGAAGCATCATTCTCAATCGGAATCTATCTGTAGCACTTGATCCCTTATATGTTTAACGGTTTTGTACACAAATGGAAGCTAACGTCATTCCAGATGGTTAAGCGTAGTATCTGCAAAATCTACCTTTAATGAAAGTTAAATAACCACTCTGCGGAAGACTTTTTAAAAAAGGAAGTTTTATTGTAAAAGATTACAACAGTGGAACCGACACTATGACGGACAGAACGCATCAGTAAGTGTGAGCCCTTTCGTAGTAGATACAAGGGGTTTTATACATATTTGTTTAATTAGTTTAATTGGTCTAAGGGCTGATGGGTTTGGTTACAATGATAAGAAGGGATAAGAAGGGCGCTTTATCGCCTCTGGACCCTAGGGTAATTGGTTCCTGGACATCTGGCTGGTTGATAATCTGTCAACTCTGACCCGGTCGACTTATCTGAAGTGCTGGTTGTCTACATGACGTGTAGGTCGTTTCTATAACTTGAATTATGACGACCTTAGTCCTTGGGTGCCTGGACGGCATAGATTGCTTTAAACTTCTTTTATCCATCCCTTGGTTGTTCAGTTATTCTGACAGGTCTGGCTGGAGTGCTACGAACATGGGGAAAGCTTGAATCCGACTCGCTGATGCTAAACGAGCAATAAATAAATGAAAAGAATCAGCGTCAGAGGACTGAGTCTTCCGAGAAGTTCTTGAGCTTCAAGAACACGGATTATGGCCCAGAAACAATCTAAACCGCAGAAAAAAGATCGTGGGCCAAGCAACACATACTTCTGGGCCAACGCTAGTATTAAAAGTCAAAGTTAGTATCTAGCCTGTAGAGAAAGTGGCCCAATCTTTTTCACAGAATTAAAGAGTGTCATTCCTTAGCTCTATATAGAGTGTAAGTAAGAATGTCATTCCATATGAGAAGTGTGTTCAGGCAGGGCAGCAAGGATTGAGACCTCAGTTCAGATGTTTGAAGAAAACATAGGGCTATATACATATATATTATGCAGGGTGGGCGACCAAGACCCGAGGGGTTAAATGCCTGGGTAGACTCGCACCATCCCTAAAAAGCCCGGGACTTGGTCCAACGAAAGTTTCCATTAAGGATCAGTTATTCGACGACCGTAGCTATTGTTAGCCTAGTTCAGTTGGTGTGTGTTCGATGTCGCAATGCCTAAACAGTCATTGTTATAAAAGAAAATACATTGACTTTTTTCTTTCGTACTTCGTCAATGATTGTGATTATTTATATTACCAGATAAATCTATAAAAGCTACAAGTGGGCAAAACTCTCCTCTGATCTCTAATGCATTTTATTATTCCAGTGCAATTCTTATATTTCGGTTGTAAAACCTGTGTTTCGACGTCTTATTATGTGCACGGTAGAATCCCACGTGATAAATAACATTTAGAAGCGAACATTGATTTAAATTTATACGTCCTGAGTAAAAATAAAAGGTTGTTTATCTTCCCTCACCCGCTATCGGCGTGGGGTGAAGCAATCTGCGTTTATCAACCTGGATGGGTGTGATCTGTATTCGAAGATAGAATATTTATCCATTTTCCTCATGTACATACTTTGAATCATCTGTGCTTGTATTTGCGTGATGTATCTGTCTTTTCCCCTTTACATTTTTTTCTCAGACATTTTTATACATTAATCATAAAGTGCTTTGCAAAAATTATAAGATTTGAGGTTGGTTTAACCAAAAACTGTTGCGAAACTTTTAAGACGCTAGATGTACAGGATATGCTTTAAGTAGAATACAATTGAAGCCAAAAGGCCGTCCGACGAGCTGAATTATTTAAAAGGTTTCAAAGCCCCCTCTTGCCAGTTGTGTAGTCGTACACGTCCATTAGGCTAATTACAATTCTAGGATCTTATCATATTAGCACATAGGATTCTAGAATTATATGGACCTATGCTGACTGGCCGTACAGTAAAGGTTGGACAAATAAAAACTATTAAATAAAATAATATAGCCCAAAAAATAATGTAACCCAATCACAGAATTCCCACCAAACATTGTATATGTGTTTTTACAGTTTGGTGTTTAATCTTACAACTTATACAGAGTATCAAAGCTATAGCGCTCACCTCATTTTTTTTCGATGTGGTTCTACATAGGAAAAACGTATGAATTGAGACTCCCCTTTATTTTTCATGTAGTTTATTCATGTAAGGTCGGTTTATTTTTTTCGACCTCGATTCGACATAAGGCAAATGCTCAACTTTAAATGAAAATCCCCATTTTTTACATTTTTCTTTCAAACTAGATTTTTGGGCGAGAAAAATGAGCACTGAGTTATTAAAATCGGTCTAATAGAACCGTTGATATAATTTTTTGAAAATAGCCGAAATGCTGTTCTAGTGTGTTAAGTCGAAACAAATTTATATTGCCTTCTTCTACAAATATTTTGAAGAGTAGTGGAAAATCAGCGAAAGTAGAGAGAAAAGTCTGCAAGCTTACTAAATTTCCTGCCAAATCCCATAAATTTTGTATTTTGGATCGTTTATTTTCCTCTGATCTTACATATACAGGGTGAATTGCTACTCGTGCTACAAACTTCTCCAGTAGATTCTTCACCCTAAAATGAACAAAAAAGTTCATATTGACCATGGTCCGATTCTCAACCNGTTATATATATATATATTACGCAGGGTGGGCGACCAAGACCCGAGGGGTTAAATGCCTGGGTAGACTCGTACACCATCCCTAAAAGGCCCGGGACTTGGTCGGCTCACGTGTCCTGCATAAACCTCTTGGACCTGTTCACAAACCCCATGATTTTGGACCATTTAATCTCGGGCAGTGATTTGATGATCCCCTATCCTTCAAAGATTTCAAATCTAGACCTAGCATATCTATCACACTCTGCGAGGTAGTGCCTTACCGTTTCTTCTTTTATTTCACAAAAACGGCAAAAAGAATCTGGTAGAATACCCATTATGGAGAGGTGTTTTGTCAGTGGGCAGAGGCCCGTCAAAATACCTATCAGCCTCCTAATTCCCTTCCTTGAGTTAGAGAATAGCCATTTCGATCCTGCTGGTTTGATTTCCTTCACAAACTCGTTCGATTGCCTGTGTCCGGGGGATAAATTCCACTCCCTCAGGAATTGTTTCATGCCCCAGTTATTGATACTCTCTTTCGCTGTGCCAAATAAACATAGGGTTATTCTATTGTATGTTGTTTGAACATGGGCTATACGATTAAGGGGGAAATAAACCACGTTGCTATCTTCATAGATAAAAAAAAATTTTACAGTGGAAGTTCGCATGCGCCCCGTGTTCATATTTTCGAATTACACCTTCGTAACCTTAAATTTGATCATACATGAATTTTGTCTTATTTGGTTTCCGAGATTTTATTTATTAACGCGAATGTGCAGTGTAAAAAGGTAGATGGTGTGAGATGGGGTACTTAATATTACATGTGTATAGGATGAAGGAATATCGTGAACTTCATGACCCTTCTTCGATGAATGGTGCGGATATAAGAAACAATGTATTTATGGATTGGTGAGAAAGTGTTTAGGTTAAAGCGTTGGAGGCTGAAATGATCTATCGATAGCCGTCGGAGTCAAAATTTAAGTGGCTCTCCCCGAACTGACAACAACTTTGAAGTAAATTAAAGCATGTTTAACTTCGAGTCCACGAAAAGGAAGCAGTTCCGCGAAGCGTAATGTGCCAAAGCAAGTGGTACAAGTTGCATCGATAAACCGAAGTATCATGTGATGACTGCCATCCTGGAGAAATGTCTCTTTTCGAATTCGTTCTATTTGATTTATGTCAAACCACACCTTGGTAAATCAGGAATTTCCAAAGCACCCTCCACTTATGTAAAATAATGACACATAGCTGTAAAATGCTAGGTATGGTTAGGAAACTTTTTTCATTAAACATTTATTTTATTTAAAAATTAGATCACATTTTACTATTGTATATCAGTTGTTTTATTAGATTTCAATGTCATAATGCTAATTTGACTATTTTCATCTTTCTTCGATTGTCTTGTTGTTGTTATTGAGGATTGCGTTAGTTTATTAGTTTCTACACTACTGCTCGGGTGACTCAAGAACTTGAATTCCGTAGATTTACTTTTTCCTGTGCTTTTCCTTGTAGTATCTTCATTTTTTAAGTTTAGAGTAAGGGCAAAGACTGCGCATAATATTCCGAACCCAATCCCGGTGAGAGAAACAATGCCTAATGTATATAAATTAATAGTTACTCTTTTTACTATTTCGTCGAAACAATTTCGCTTGAAAGCCTTTTCGTGCGTGCATAGGCCATCCAACATTCCGCAGCATGAAGATGGCAGTTGGTTAATATTCCAATTTTTGACTCCAAACGCACTACAGCATAAAAGAGCTTGTTGCAGTCGATCGATTTCTTTCTTGAAATGGTTGTAGCCTTTGAACTTGACGCCTAGCTGGCTCTGTAAGTGCTTTTTGGCCTCGTGGACCAAGACGAACGCCGCTATTCCTACGACGATTTGTACCATGACGGAGACGAACACGCCACCCGCGTACAGTCTGAACAGTGTAGTGCTATTCACCATCATCGCGATACATCCAAAAGTCGATATGAGAACCATGATGATTCCCGATAATATGATGAAATGGTACAAGTTTGGGAAATAAGATTGAATAAACGGAGCCAACTCACTACCGTCACTGACGTACATCAAGCCGAGCACCGTCATTGAAAAACCAAACACTCCGAACATAACATTTACAACGAGTAAAAGGACGTTCTTTGGCCAGCACATCTTCATTCTTCCGCCTTATCCTCCAACTGTTAACTCATAATTAACAGAAATATATAACAAGAACGATTTGTAGCTCAGAAGATAGAACAGAAGATGAAAATAAACATATGTATTAGATTTTTTTTTTGTACATTACTGTTTTTCTGAAACGGGTCCCATTGAACCCTGAACCATCCGATTTCATAAACAAAATTCAATGAATTAAATGTTGCAATTGTATTCATTGTGAGATTCCCTCTCTGATGTATGCATGTCAAAAAACTCTGTCATTCTCAATTATTCTTGACCTGCCCATTCTTGCTGGTCTAACAGAAAACAATATTAAAGATGGCACGAAGACGAGCGAGCGTCTAGCTAAAACAGGGCGAAAATATTCAAAGTTTATTATTATTGTTAGAGTTGCAAGTTCGAGGGGATGTCTTCTTCCACTGTATAAGGCGGTCGTCTTATCGATGAAATCCACAAAATTAAAGGCAATATTTGTTCCTTTTTCTTTGCACAACAAATATAATTATTTTTTATTAATAATTGATTTTTTGGCATCCATGGCCTGATTCCGAACCTGACCAGTACGTATCAGAACTTGACTCAAGGATTATAAATCATTTAATTTTAATCCGGTTCTATAAAATTGTTTTCCAGCATTGAAGCGTTTTTAAGCATATCAACTGATCCAAATTCCATAACTAACAATCCAAAGCACAATTCACGAATATATTGTATTCGTCGTTCCACTTGGTAAAATGAAGGTATGCAAAAAGGAAAAGACCTGTCATTTTTAATCGATTTCTAGATGGTTTTTTCTATTTCTATGTCTGTATTTCATCCTTCCTTGTTTACCTACTTGCCCTGAGGGCGTTAAAAAACAGTTACTCCGTGGTTTCAGATGGCTTCGGCGCCTCAGGAGGATTACAAACAGAATTTGTTTCTACGCCTAGCAAGTAAAGTTCGCCTTTTTCTAACCTATTTTTTCCAATATATGCCTTTTTTTCTGGGGATTTCAGAAAGGGTTGATACGCCTCATTGCGGCTTCCTGTTGCGTGATATTCACCAAGGGTGGGATGGCTTTACTGCTTTGTTTTAATCTCTCTTTTTTTTATCACTGCCCCATCTTTTAATTTAAGCACCGGTTATAGTGTCCATTTATTTCTTCACTACAGCGACCTACAATAGCAAGTTTTAATTTTTGAACCCATCATAAAACTCGAATTTATATTCGACAAATAAAACTGTATAATGCCAGAGCATCAACAATGCCATATTTCGCTGATTGGTTGAAGCGCCGAACACGTCGGGAATCGATAGAACCACGGCAGTCTCTCTTAGATGTTTCCTGAGGTCGGAAGTTGTTTTTGATCGGAAGAAATTTGTGTACTTGAGCCATTAACTTGGATTTGTCGCTTTCTCAATCTACACTTTTTGTCGACTTCGCATCATACTTTTTTTTTCAACGCCAGTGAGCCTTTTTTGTTGTTTTTATTAATGAATGGGTTTGGTTATTTATTTCTTGTTTAAAAATAATATGCTGAAGCGCGGCAGAGCCGCCATTTTTTTAATTAAAGTCCTTTATTATACAATTGTAATCAAAGTCTTTATTTTAATTCCTTTGCCCCTATTCTTCGGACGGGGAAAGATCCACGAGAATTAAGTCTTAATTTTGTTTGGTTTGTCAGTCACACGACTTAGTCAGTCATAACTGTTGTTAATAATGATTTTTATTTAAATATTTCAAGTTCAATATGTACCATTGAATTAATATATTTACTAATTGCATTCAAAAGCATTATTTCATTATCAATAAAACAATAAAATACTGATTGTTAAAATAATGTTCGAATTAAATGGTAAAAAGGAGGGAAAATTCAAAAAGGTGGGGTTGAGTTGAGAAGTTAGTGTCCGAGTGGATCGAGGTCGCGATAGCTCAAATGGTAGATCAGCAGTATATCTAGCCGAAGATCGTGGGTTCGAATCCCGCTCGTGACAGTGACTTTTTTACCTCAGCCACATAAAGATTAATTAAATGAAAGAAGTTTTTGGTCAATCTGACCACGAAACTAATGAACATAACAAATATCTTGTTTAAAGTAATATGAAAATTTTTTATTAATTTTTTAATGGTAAAGGAATTTTTGTTTAAAATTAATGATAGGTATCAATACAATTATATAAATTTATATTTGGTTAAACTTTTTTTGGGTTATTGTAAATTTGCAAAAACTCGAATCAATTCTAGTTTTGATTAATGCTTCAATTTTGGCGCAAGTTTTTCAGTTATTTCTTTTTTCACTAGCTTAGTCAATGAGAATGGATGAGGTTGTTCTTCCTGAAGCGAATAGTCCATTGAAAGAATCGTTTTCGTAAATAATTCAAAAATTCTCCCGAATCATAAACAAAATGCGCCACGGGACCGATAAACGTTGCAACTGGTTATTTATCAGAGGGTAATGATCCTTTGTACTGATTGACCGTGTCCATTATGCACCCTTTCCTCCCTATCGTTTCATTTACATTTCCATCAGCGCACATCGGCCAATTGGCTTAAAACGACTCTCACGTTCGTTTCACCCGACAAATATGTTTGGATTTAATTTTAAAATTGTCCAGCAGTGAACTTTTTAATGCGGGTTTTTGATTTAGATTTATTTAATAAACATCAAAATTGTTGGATTGACAAGAGTGAATTAAAATTACGTTTTTTTTCTAATGATGTTTATTGGCTACTTAAGGAAATTGTGTCATACTCCTGACATTAGTTTGGCCGATTTCCTATAAACTGCCAACACCGTCATTATGTATGAGTCAAGGAATTACCAACACCAAACCTACCTGAACATATCAACGAAATACAGATAATAAAGCTTGCCCACGTTTAAGGATAACTGCTAGGAACTACCGACATCTACATAAATCAAGTGCTTTAAACTTAATCTAGGCAGCAGATTGACGTGGAATTCCTTCTTAAGATCTCACCGGGGGTGTCTCGCTTGGCGCCTAGTTACCTGATGACTCGCCTGGTATATAGTGCTTTACGCTGATCGTTCACATTGTTTAAATGTCTCCTTCAAAATGATTTGAAAACTCTTCTTGGCAGGAAACATTTCTTTGATAGATATAGCGGAAGGTTTCTCATTTTCTTTAGAACTATTAAGTTTTAATGGAGGTTATGGGATGGTTTCTAGTAACATTCTCGTTTGAAAACTGCACCTATTAATGTGTCGTCATCCAAGCCGCATCGAATTTTAGAAATAAGGTAACACGCCATGAACTATTGACCGTTCTTCTAGCGACAGACTTAGCCATGTATGTTGTACAAAGATGGTTCAGAAAGACGCATCACCGGGGGAGTCTTCAGGTAACTAGACGCCAAGCGAAACAACTTCAATGTGACCTTCGGATAAGAGACAGGTTTACGGCCGGGTTTGTGTACAGTCTCCTGAATGTCGGCTAAATACGCCGATGCTCTACCACTTGAGCTATCGTGACTTCGATCCGCTCGGACACCAACTTTCTATCTCAACCTCACCTTCGAATTTTCCCTCCTTTTTGCCATTTTTTCAAATAGATAACATGCCAGTTATATATAATACATAATACCCAACGCACTAATGCAAAATTTCCCTCTGTTGAAAAGTTTTGTTTACAAATATCAGAACTTATGTAAATAAATATAAATAAATATGCATAAATAAATAAATACATACATATATAATAAATAAATGTACATACATTGTGGTATGTACGTACATACCAACTATTTTCTGAAAATATTATTTTTTGTTAATGAATTTGAATAAATTGTTTTATTGTAATCAGTTTTCAAATTGCAAGAGTTAGGAACTTTTTTTACATAGATAGATCCTTTGAGTAATCTAGACCCTAGAATTTTTTCGTAATCTACAATTTTTATGTCGTTAATATTTAACTTAAATCCATTACAGTTCGAGGTCCGATTGAACAATTAACTTTTTTCAATAAATTAATATTTATAAAAGGTATTGGTTGAGATAAAAAAAGTCAGCGTCACGAGCGGGATTCGAACCCATGACTTTCGGATAATTTCGGACCGCTGCTCGACCATTTGGGCTATCGTGACTTCGATCCATTCGGTCACTAACTTCCCATCTCAACACACCTTTCAAATTTTCCCTCCTTTTCGCCGTTTTTTCCTATTTGTTATATTTTTTCACTTCCTGCAAATAGGTAATTTGTAACAGTGAGAAAGTACATACAAAATTAAAAACAAGAGTGGAAAAAAAACCATTGGTATTACTCTAACGATACTAAAATGTTGTCTGTTTAAGTAATACTTGTGACATCATCACTCTCACTATCATCACATTTACTTCCTCGGAGATCTCGCGGCCATTGTCTCTTCCACTGGGCGAGAGTTTTTTTTGTGTGTGTGTGTGTGTGTGTGTTTGTGGTTCTGATTTACGGTGGTTTGGAAGGATTTTGTGAAAATTGCTGTAACGGGAACGGATTTCTTCTTGAACGAAAGAAATTGTTAAATTTGTACATGTGGTTAGATTCCATATATAAAATGGAGCATCTAGTATTTTTCGTTGGATTAAGGATTGGTCAGTTTGAATGCGGCGGATGTTGGAAGTTAGGCTGAACCCCCACACTACCAGTCCGTAAATCGACATCGACTTAAAGCCAGAAACACATGCTACGCCATGCAACGCTACCCGATGCTACCCGACGCAAATCCAAACTCCGATTTTCCATAAGGTTGCATTACCCCCGTGCACATCTACCCGATGCTACCCGACGCAAATCCAAACTCCGATTTTCCATAAGGTTGCATACACCCGTGCACGTCTGCCCGATGCTATGCCACGCTAACCTTCCCGACGCTCTCTGCGATTCCCACTGTCCAGATTTTCGTCGGGTCGCATCGAGTACAGTCGAAGACAAAAGAACCGGACACTCATATTTTTATTCAAACTACATGTATTATTGTCCTTATATTAATTACAACATACTTATTTTAATATAAACCAAATTAACTGTGATTAAAACTTAATTAGTTTTTATTTAAAAAATTAATTTTCATGGTTTGGTAGAAAATTAATGAAACACCGGAATACCATTTTTTGATATAATGAATTTTACTAACA